GTGGTCTTATTTCTTGAAGTTGTACCATGTGAATTTCATCAGCAGGATCGTATCTACTATCTACTCGAAAATAGCTTCCTGGCATTAATAAAAGTTCAATTAAGACATTTAATCACAAAGATAGTCCGTTGACCTGTTTTACCACAGAATTGCTCAGATTGGAGGATATCCATGTTGTCTGTGCATGAACTAACACCCCACCATATTGAATTAGTATTAAGCTCATACTGACCTGTTAAATCAGTTTTTACACCTCGATAAACAGTGTCAACAATCGATGGAAGTCGAGAAAGTGCAGTAATAAATAGTTTTAAATACAGAAACCATGGTTTGAGTTTTTGTCGATCTTCCATACGTAAAGTTTGATTAAGAATAAAATATAGACTATTTTCTTTTGTATTCCATTCGAATGTATACAACATAATCGAAGCTGATTCATCTTGTGATAGACCATCAGCTGGCTTCTTACAACGATTTTTCGCAACCCATACGTTTCTTTGAAGTGTTTCTTGATCGAAAATAGCGACGAGTGGCTCAACTGCTTGTTCCAATGACACTAAAGGTTCATTTTGATAACCTTCAATAGGTAATAATACAGAATTAGATTCGTAAAGAACATCCTGGATTCTTTGTTGTAACATAATTTTGAGTTAAATCACAAAGCTGTTAATTTTTTAATATTAATACTTCTAAACATATTAAAAAAAAGATATTGTGAAATTACATATATGCTTGTCTTCTTTTGTTTATTTTAAGTAAAAAAAAATGAAAAAGGACGGTCATAGGAAAAAGATAACAGAGAAAGAAACATTCATTTCATCTAGATCACACATCCACAGTGATTGAAAAAATTTCATCGATTGCTGAGCGAATTTCGAAATGTGACAACGTGAGCTGAGATAGAATACAAAGTAAACTTGCAAAAAAAAAATAATCAGGTTCCATCCTAACTTTTAGACTAATACTTTGATACTATGTTAGAACGGATAAAAACCCAAACACAAATCGTTTGGACTTGATGCATTCTTGTTACTGACAGAATTGTAAATAATGTTGGCTCTAGTTGTTCTATAGACAAAACTAAGTTTCAATTCCTCACTTTTGTCTCGTCATGCAAATACTATTCACTATTGGCCAACGTGTCATGGATATTGGGTCGGTTTCTTTTCCTTTGCTCAGCGTAAACATCAGAAATGATCGAAAAGTCGATGCGAAGAATATGCAGAGAAAAAGGTATAGGTGCTCAAGCCTGATATGATCGTCGTCGATGAAAATCTTCAATCTCATCTACTCTTTGGGAGAATGTGTGAAGAGACATATTTTTCGCAAGCAGTCACATTAGACGTCAGTTTTTTTCTTTCTCTGTTTACTTGGATGGACTGAAATGAAATGCACTATTCCTTTGCTTTCGATAGAAGGAGAAAAAGTGTCCTGCATGCATCAACGGCACCTTTACTCGTTGTTTACTATTCACAAATGGATTTTTGTTTTGTTTCTCAGCTGCATAAAAGAGTATTTCGTCATTCTAAGAGATCCTTTGCATTTGTTTCTTCCAACATATACTGACGAGCAAACGTCGTCAAGTGTTCTTGCAAAATATTCACCAAATTCAAATTACTGTTGACATAGTGAGTTTCGGCTTCGTTCTTTCTTCCTAGTAGTGCTGATGTTTTTTTTTCTGGCAGCATTTCTGCGCACGTCGACAGTGAATTCAAGCAAGGCAACACATTCAAAAGAGATCGATAAGTAAGTTTGCATGATCAATAACTATTTTCGCTGCTCTTGCTCGATAGAGTAATTTCAGAGTTTTTTGAGTTCTAATATTTTCTGATGTCTTAAAAATGTTTCTACAGATTAGCATTTCAACGTCAAGCTTTTTATTTTCACACGTTAAGACGTTTGTTTTTATATATTTGTTGTGTTTTATAGTGTTTTGTTTTGTACAAAAAACTGAATAATTTTAGTAAGGCGTTAGAACGCAGTATTGATAGTGCGTTCTTTTTCTGGAAATGACAAGTTATTTTATAAAAATGTTAAATGAATAATTCAATTCGTATGTTGGGTGACAACCCCTTTCAATGTAGTAGAACACTTGTTAAGATAACCTTTGTGAGGCTCAAATGTGGAACTCACATGTGTTCTTTAGCTTCCTTCAACATTTCTCTAAAAAATGCGTAAAGTGTCAAGCCTGTGTGAAAGACTGTCGTTGTTTCATAAGAATAATCACTCGCGTAAGAAACAGTCTATCCTCTTCATATCTGCATTTCAAATGGATTCTTTTTTCTTGTTCGTTTTAAGATGCTAAAGTGGGCGTGAGAGACTTTTTGAGTGACGATCTTTTATTTATTCATTCATACCTAGACTCACACCTATAATTTCCGGCATTCACAAACGTATATTATTTCATAGAAGAGAATACTGAATTAAAAGTTCTTTGGAAAGAACAATTGTGCAGACTACATAAACATTGAATTAATATTAAAATGACATCAATATCTATTCAATTTCAACTCAATGATCAACAGCCAGTTGTAGCCAACTTACCCACACAATTTACTCTAGACGATTTTAAGAGAGTGGCTGATAATATTTATAATAATACAAGTTTTCTTTATTCTTTTGTATGTCATGGAAAAGAATTTGATTTAAATAATGAAGACGAATTCAATAAATATAAAGCATTAATCACCTCTGGAACAACAATTTTTACAATAGAACATCTGAAAGCATGTTTTTTACCAGATACGCTCGTTCAGCGTGTTGATCAAAGTGAAATACGTATTAGTGATATTCAATTAGGTGATGTTGTACTAGCATTTACTACTTTTGGTGAGATTGTTACAACAGTTGTTGAAGACTTGTTTAAGCATGAAGTCGATGA